CAATTCGATTTATTATCTATCGTGTGATGATAGAGTATCATATAATGTATAAAGATACGTATGAAGTTGATTCTGAGTTTTATTTTTCATAATTTTGTTCAATCTTGATAATAAATATTGGTATTTCCACGCACAAATAGTAAACAATGTAAAGAGAAGTGAAAAAATAATAACGCATATAAATAGTTAATCGTTTCTCAAAAAATGATGATATTATTAGCATGATTTTGTTATCGAAAAACTATACAAAAAAATCTCTTTTCTTTCAATATCAAATGTTTCGTTTAGAAACAGCTCCATACCTGAGCTTAACATATTGTTCTGCATGTCATGCTATCAATATGTAAGCGATATATACATATATAATGGTTTCAACATACTAGCAATTATGTTAACGACTAGAAAAACACGCGAGTATTTACATTTTGTACATACGAGGTACGTAACTGTACATAGAACATCTGATTTCTAAACTTGAAAATAAGACTTTTGCTTATTTCTTAAGACTTTTTAAAAAATTTTCCGTGTTCGATATAAAAGTGTTTATTTTTTTTTATGTCTGAACATATTATAACTTACGATAATACTGAAAATATTGTTATTGGAATTAATCAGATGTAATATCGAAAAATTAATACCATTATATATATCAGCTTTTACAACAAAGTTAAGTGGTGTAATTAATGAGGTGATGTGCATTTTGTAAGATTTGTGAAAAGAAAATGAGGTTTGTGAACAGAAAATCTTCAAAGTATTTATCAAAAGTGTCACATATTCATTAGGTTCGTAATCGGCAATGGTATATATGTATGTGTAATTAGTAACTATCTCTGGTAAAAAAAAGTTGATAGAGAACGATAGAAAAATCTTATTATTTTGAATGTATTATAGAATCTGGTTTGTGAATTTGCAAACAATTTGAATCAAATCTTATAATAACCCAGCTTATATAAATCTTATAAAACTCAATAAAATACGATAGGATTCATATCCGATGATGTTCGCGATCGAAGTCGACGATAGAAAATGCTATAAATTCATAGAAAACAATACAAATTGATAGAAATCCTATTGTTCTCAATCATTCTCAACTTTTTTTTACCAAGGATATATATATATATATATGTCGCGTATGTTTTTTAAAAATTTAAATCTGACAGATCAATTATTTTATAAATTTTATTTATAAATTTCTATTGTATATATTGCATAGGCCATGTTCGTATATCACTGCCAGTACAGTATAATATACGTAACGAGAACTATAGATTTTCAGTACTGACAGTCAACTGGCAGTAATATACGAACATGGCTATATAGTACATACGTTGTATACATTAATACGTATACATATAGATATATAGCAACATATTGCATCATATAATGCAAAATAACGTGCTTTCGTCAGTAAATTGTCTTCGATCGAATTCTAGTGACGTCGTATGACGCATTCACGAGCATTCACTTCCGTGACAGATGGTCACTTTGTCTGAAAATAAATTATGACGCGCTCATGATTCATGTACAGGTCGCTGTCTTCTCTGATGCGTCTTACTTTGATCCGATTTGAATAATGATCACCGATTCGATTGCACAATAGATTTTACGTTTGCTTTTTGATGTAAGTAAATTACTTGTTCACTAAGAATAAAAGGAAATTACTGAAAATCGATAAAAATCGATTTCATAAATCATCAGTCTTGTAGAAATTTATATATACTTAAAAATTTGAATTTTATTTATAATGCTTTAATCTAATTTTCCGAAAAAAGACTCATCCAATTTTTTTAACTATAATGATCGTATAAGATGGAATTATTTAAATAGCAAGGTGTTGTCGTAATATAATATTTGTTGTGAGTCAATAATTTTATTTTAATTAACAAATTAAATATATATATATATATGTATAAATTAATTATTTAATTATATATAATAACAACTAATCATATATAATAAATATTAATGCCGCTTCTTACAATTTTAACGTATAGTCATGTTGTTATATTTAAAGTTTCACGTTTGTTTATTGCAATTCGTGTCACAGTCTTCAAATAGAGTTACAAATATATTAATGATGTGTGCGTTTAAGCATGTTTGTGGCAAGAATTGCGTGCATACATGAGTATGTATATTTTTATGCCGTTGTCAGGTTTTGTTGCTGACTTGGCGCTTACCATAAATTAATAATGACTTTAATATAAATTTGCTTTTTACACAAAACGCTGCCGTGTGTAATATATAATTTTTATATAATTAATTAAAAAATTATTTTCACTTTCCTCAGAATTTCTTAAAATGTATTAAAACGATAGATTAACAAGAAAGATATTAACTTATATTAGTAATAATAACTTTATTGATGAGTAAAAACAAAACATAGTAATAATATGAACGCAATAAAAGAAGGACACATTCAATGGGCGAGACATCAGCAGTATTGCTATCTAAAAGTTTAAATCCGAAGCAGAAATAAAAATAGAATAAGATTGAAAGTAAATACAAATTTTATAATAGATATGTAGATTAGCAAATAAGTGGAATAAGAAACAGAATATAAATGCAAATTTGATAATAGATATAAGTAGCACAAGAAACGCATTAAATTAAAACATAGAACACGTGCAAAAAAAAAAGAAAAAATAAAGATATGGGATAATGATAATAATAATTGTATTAAAAATAATTATAATAAATACAAGAGCAATATAGATGAGAATAATGAACGAAAGAAGAAAAAACGGAATTAGTACGCATAGCTATATATATATAGAATTAAATGCAAAGTAACTTGGATCAAATCAAATTTAATCAAATCAACATTAAAATTTTTAAAGCAAGATAATATTTTTGCTATACCTATATATGAGTATATTATGGTTGATTCAGGAATAGTCTTTTTTTTCTTTGTAACAACAGCTACAAATCACGCATTCGATATTCAGAGTCAACAAACTTGAAAGCGGCAAGAGAGAAAGAAGAGCGAATGTAGAAGGGTAAGGACTTGAAATACTTTACAGTAAGAAAACGCAGCCAGAAACATAGATGTAGAATATTATAGAGGATAAGAAAGAAGAGTCTGGCAGCGTGGTATTAGATAAAGGAAGAGCTAGAGTGAAACTCATGAATGAAATAAAGACAATCACGAAGATAAGATTGAGTATTAGAATGAAACATTAAAGACCAAGCAACACAAATGCAGAATGAATCTTTGACATATGTATTGCTATGTAAACAATGTCAATATAATCAAATAAGGAAAGGATGAGAAAATGGGAGATCATAAGTTTTTGCGAAATAAAAAGAGCATGATGAAAAGGATACAGTTTACATATGCAACTTTGCATTTTGAGATAAGGGATAGTTAAAAGACCAGGAAGGATTGACATGTAAATCAAGAATGCGGATACAAAGGGGGGATATAATCAAAATAGAGAATTAAGACATGAGACAGTGAGCTGGAGTTCGTATTCATATAAAAGGATTTAGTGATATTTAAATAATATGTAAAGATGCGACGATAACGACAATGATGCTGATAATCAGCAGTAAACATATAACTAAAGAAAAGAGGACCAAGAATGAAGGAACATCAGACGGCACACAAAGAGAGGATAGCATAGCAAGAGAATTGTAAGCTGCACGCGTTGAGAACGATTTAAGATATAGGAACGGAAAAAGGAAATAGCTAGGAGAGATAAAGCATAGTGATGCAGTTTAGCCAATAGTTCATAGTTACTGTGTCAAAGGCCTTTGAAATTAAAACATTTTTTAGATATTAATATATCATTAATATTTAAAATTTATTTTAAAAAGCATATAGTTTTTTGAAATAAATATTTTATCGTTTGATTATCTGTTGCGAAGAAGTTTTTATGAAAAATCAAATTATAATTATTAAAGTTCAAATTGATGCATACGCTCCAATTCAAATATATACAATTTACGACATTCTCTCGAGTCTATTCTCTAAAGAAATCTCTA